AGAAAAAGCGGTCACTATGGCCAGATGACCGGTTTGTAGATGTGGTCACTTCGGCAAGTTTAACTGTTCTCAATTAGTCGCAGAACTCGACTTAAGTGGGAAGTCACAAAGCTTCCAGTTGCACTCCAAAGTGTCACTAAAGCAGCCGAGCTTAAGAAACAACCTACTGCCCTGGACCACAGGGTTTTATCTTGCCCAGCCAACCGTCGCTAAAACTGTGCAATAAGACACAGGATGAGTTAAGTGGCCAGTCAGGAGACCACAGGAAAATTTTAGATAGCTCTGAGCTCAAAGTCTCAACAAAGTAGCCGATCTTAAAAAAAAAAAAACTACTACCCTGGACCATGGGTTTATCCTGCAGGCCAGCCAACCGCAGCTAAAACTATGCAATAAGACATACATGTAGGATGAGTTAAGTGGCTAGTCAGGAAACTACGGGAAAATAGATAGCTCTGAGCTCCAAGAGTCGCCGAAGTGGCCAGACTGAAACAACGAAGAGCCGCGGCTCTGGACCGCGGAGCAGCCTACAGGTCCAACTCAGCCAACCGGAGATCAGAGTAAGGCCGAGGAAAAAAATTTTGTGTTTCCTGTTTCAGTGCTGGAAAATTAGGGTCGTTAGGTGTGGCTTTTTTTTTTCTTTTGAGACTTTGGCAATCTCTAGTGATTCAAGTCACAAAATCATACAGTTTAGCAAAGTAAAATTTGCATGAAGACACTTATATTTTCAATGTCAATGTTGGAAAACCGATTGTACAATTTTTCATCACACAGGTGTCAGATCGTGGAGCTAGGAAAGGTTAATCAGTTAAAAAAATGTATGTCCCTCGCAGGGTTCCACACACACACACACAAAGGCTAGGGTCGGAAGTTTTTCTAGGGTCCGAAGTTTTCTCTAGGTCGGTCGGGAAACAGGAAACACAACAGTTTTTCCTAAGCCTAAGAGCAACCTGAACAACCACCTGTGCGACAAGAGACACCGGAAAACAAATGACCCTGCGTGAATCGGCGGGTGGCTTGGACACTCAGCAGTCAGTGGGTTTTGCCATGTTCCCACACCGGCCCTGGGAGTACTGGCTGAGTGCCGCTCCAGGGATGTCAAATTCGGAAGATTCGAGGACGAATCTTGAAAAAAGGGTCTAGACCTATTAGCCTGATCGTTAGGGCGTCGTGGTTTCAGCTGGTGCCCGGGTTTGGCGTGGGTTCGATCTCCGGCTGGGACCAGGAGTGTCTTTCTGTTTCTACTCTCCTAATTTTTACAGTGATTGGTTTTGCCCAACAAGCCTAAGCTACAGCTGTTAATGGCCAAAGTAAGGACCAGCAATTCAGGTGGGTACAGGAGGGACGGAAGTAAAAGTACCTCTAAGCTGCGAGTGTCACTGCAGTGGCTTTGCTGGATTTGCGGCTTGCACTGGCGCTAATGATTAGCAAATCCTTTAAGAACTCCTACAGGAACTAGAAAGTTAACATTTGCCAAGCAAATGCATATATACGTATATATATATGTATATATACTCCTGTCTTAGATCCTTTTCGGCGTTTGGATCTGTCTAAAAGCATCAAAATCGTACAAGACCTACGACGAGTCTGATCAAGCCAAGGCCTTTACAAAAAGTGAGCCTCAGTGAGGTGATCCACTATGACTGCCGATGCCAAGGACACGATCTCCACTTTAGCTAATCTCCAAGCAGATCCCTTTCGGTGGCAAAAAGACGGTATCATATTGGCCAGGCAGTATCCATTAGCCAGAGAAGGTCGCCGGCCACTGACGGGGGTCAGGACAAAAAAAAAAACGGCCATACATAAAAAGCTAACAATCATTCCCCCACAACCTCTGCTTGGAGAGTAACTTTCGCCGGCTTGAAGGAAAGAAAATGTTTCCGCTAATGGAACACGTGAACCGACATCCGCCTCCATTAGCCGAAAACATTTGCGTTCCCCTGCGCTCACGTTATTGGCCCCATTCCGGCCCCTCGTTTGCGTTATGCGGCCGTCGGGAGGCTGCTAAGTGGGCCGTAAAACGCGCGGGCCTTAATCTAATGGATGTAATCAGGAGGGCAGAGTTTGGCCATAAAACCCAGGCCCCGGGGGAATCTACGGATGTGGCGGGGAGACCAACTCTTCCAACTACTTAGTCAGTTTTAGGGCTTGCAATTGCTTACTTGTACACTACCATACCTTGTCCACATTACAATTATGTATAGTTCATCATCATCATCATCATCCTAAGAGGTGGAGCGGACAAAGTTTGATCTCCAGAACTGCTTGTCTTTCATTGCTGAAATAAGTTCCAGGCCCTCCAAGCCTGTTTCAGTTTCTATAAGTTTCTTAAGTATCATGTTTGGACGTCCAATGTATAATTTGTCAGCCCTAAATCTTAATGATTTAAATGCTATATGTAATGCCTAAGTCTCTAGGCCAGGGACTGGCATCTTGCTTCCATGTGTTCAGGTTATATAAACGGACCATGACCTTTAAAGTAAAAAGTCTTGTTGAATGTACGCCTTGCACACTGTACACATTTTAATAACTTTTGAGTCTCACAATGCCGCGTCCCACGCAGACCGAATATCGAACTCATGTCTACTTGGACTTCTCCTGAAATCCCGTCCATTAAAGAAACAAGCTTTATCAATTTTGATTCATGTTTGAGTTGGTAGCAAGCTCAAGGTCTTCCGGAAATCTTGGTCTTTGCTGTCAAAGCGCTGCAAGTAAACACCATCAGAAATTGCACTTGAAATTAAATTTGTCGAAGACCGTCTGACCACAGAAAGAAAAGATAGCTGGTATATGGCCACGTGTCACGGTGGTCAGGACTAACCAAAACTATCATAGAAGGAACGTTGGATTCAACTCTGGGCTCATTAAATCGACCTAAGCGCCATACTTTGGAGACAGAGAACTGTTCTTTTCCGCTCTCCATGTGTAAACCAGTTTTCGCCTTTTTGATATCGAATGGACACTTTAAATTTAATTTCTGTAATGATTTGGTCCCACCATCCATATGCGTCATTTTACAGCAAGTAACTAACACAGACAAATAGAGGGACTTACACCGCAGTTTGCTTTTTGTGAAAGATTTATAAGAGCTCCAACTCCAGGCTTATCATATCGACCTGACCGCCATACTTTGGGGACAAAAGTCACGGTGTCAGGTCAAACGTGAGCACCATCGGGATCTGGCGACCTCGCAGTGACAGCGTAATGAGGTCCTGTGTACCAAGGGAGAATCAGGCATTACAGGAAAACTAATCTCCAAGCAGATCACACGGTGGCAAGGCAGTATCTATTAGAAGAGGAGTGCCCATTAGGCATGCACCGAAGTGGCTAATGGACACTCCTCTGACCAATGGACACTGCCTTCCCACCGTATGATCTGCTAGGACAAGTATCTTTTGCAAGTGTCGACGCTGCAATATCCTGCATCACTCAATCACGCTCTCCCATACCTTAGTCAGCCGTTAGGGCAGCATCATGTTTGGAAAAGTTTTTCCACTGCTGACGATCTTTTGCCAGTCTGGCCATCTGGGTGGCTGTTTGACCGGTCCAATCCTGCATGCCATATCTTAAAACAAGGGCCCCTCATCAATAATACGTACATTGGGACAAATATGCGGAAAACGAGCAGCAACCCGATTGCTCTTCATTGATGTAAGCTGGTTCCAGATAAGTTGATTGATTTCTTTCACAGATGTGGACGTAGCGCTGCCCAATCCTGCATGCCATATCTTAAGACAAGGGCCCGTCATCAATAAGACGTATTGGGTCAAATATGCGGAAAACGAGCAGCAACCCGATTGCTCCGGACGGCAGTTCCATCAACTGCACCACCCATCAACTTATGCATTCATCATCGGAAACTTTAAACGACCGAAACTGGAGTCACTTCACGCGTGTTCAATGAGCCGCCATGACAGATCAGCTTTGAGCTGCCTTCTCTAGTAAAACTATATTTTTCATACAAGAAACTAAGGTAACATTTGCAAAGCAATGCATAATGTTCGCATATGGTCTAATATAATTCTTACTCAAACACATTCATATATATGGTCAGACAGGAGTCTAAATCCCTCCTGCTGTAAAATTGCAACATGATGTAACCCAACACCAGTTACCATTGTCACAGACGTCTGGTTCAGGTCATTAACCGTATTGGTTTGGAGAAGAAGAACAGTAGGAGGAAACAGCAAAAACAATGTTTTCCTTTGGTAAACATAAATACTCTTTCCACCATTCAAACAAGGAAAAAATGACAACCATTGTATGTCATCTTGTGATATTGACGGTAGGCAAGGAAAGAAGAATTGTGCCCATAGCTTCCAATTTCTGCCATCGTTTGATACTGTTAAGAGAGCCGGCCAGTTAGGCTGTGAAGGATGGATCTGTACCCTCGACTTCTAGATATCAAATTCACACGTTCATCACGTATCATACGGAATCTAGTACATTTTGTATGACCATGCATACATAGAGAGAAAAAGCACATTGCCCATTTATTCTTGAGCCTAAATAAAATCTATCACAATCTACCACTAGTAGCAACATTTAGAAGAAGAACACCAAACATCAAAGAGCAGGCACTTACTTTTCTACCCATTTATTTTTTTACTTCATCTTTATGACTTACATGCAGCATCGACACCATAACACTATAGTAACATATAAATCAATTTGAACCATTTTCAAAAATTCAACCCCGGGCCTATAAAATTGTGAACAATTAATTCTACCTTGTGACAAAAATAACATACAAAATGTACACCTTTTGACAACTTAGATATACATATTATGCAAATTTGATACAATAAAATCAGGTTTCTCTTCAAATTATGTACAAAGTAATATCTATGATATGGTGTTGCAAAATATGCCAACAGGTTGAAAGAAAGTAGCATTGGTCCTATTTTTCAGCACATATTTTCTACATTTTTAAATGTAACATATTTTCTACATTTTTAAAAGTAACATATTTTCTACATTTTTAAAAGTAACATATTTTTAAAAATATGTTACTTTTAAAAAGGCACATTCATTTATAGTATTAGTGCAGCATTATGAATCTTTTAACTTTAAAATTATCTTATCTTAAATTTGTTCTTTGAAAATAGATTGAAGTCTATAATTTTGGTCACATTTTCTTACTTTTGCCATTCGACATGATAGTTTAAAGGCACCATAGTTACATATAGTTAACCATCTGCAGTTTTCATCTGTAGATTTTAACCTTCAGTACACAGTAGATGGCGTAATCATTGCACACCAATTCTCTGTTGCCATGAAAGTTCATCTGTGTTGGTAGTAATCATAGTAAAATGTTGAACTTCATTCCAACACGATACACAGAGAACAAATTTTCAATTGTGATTGGTCATTAATTATCCTGATGAAGGCAACAGTGGTCCCTGAAAATTTGATCTCTTTGTATCCGTAACGTTGTGTTGGAATAAAATATTCTCTGTTGGTTATAGGTTTGAGCAGCAGTTCCTTTGAACTGCTTAAAATATGTTTTTATTTCATGATGAATTTAAAGAAACTTTAACAACAGATTTTCTACAAAAGTCTGCGAGATAGCCTTAGTTGAGAATTGCACAAAGCTGTCTAGAGATTAATCACCATGAGTTTGTACTGCACCGTACACTCCATTGGAAGCCTGGAGTTTCTTCTGCAGCAAAATAAACAAAAACAACAAGCAAAGTAAGACGCTAATGCCACATTGAAGCAGGCAAGCTCACTGAGAGAGCAACAGTCTGTATGAAACCACCAGCTAGGAGGAAAGAAGTTCAGAACTTGATATGCTGGAAGAGAGAAGAAATGCTACATTTAAGCAGGCAAGATGACTGAGATGACAATAGTTTGTATTACATATCACCAGCTAGGAAGGGGATCGAAACTTAATAAGCTGGTTGAGCAAGAAATGGCAAGTAAATGCTGAAGATCAGAAATGGTTAAACGCCTTTCACATGGAGCTTAAGAAAGAGACAGAGTGGGAAATGAAGAAGTTTACCTATAAACCAATCCAAACAAAGTGGTAGTACAGTGTGTTAAATAGGAGTACTATATGAAAATCTACCAGTGAGCGAAACGATAAGAAAACGAAGGTTGAGGTTCATTGGACACTGCTATAGAAGTGAGGATGAAATCATACACCAGTTATTAATGTGGGGGCCCTTACATGGAAAAAGACGTCGAGGTCGTCCAGCAAGAAACTACTAGTAGTATATTAACCAATTAATGGACAACACCCAGCTCGACAGGAAAAAACCTGATGGTAGAAATGAAGGATAGGAAGAGATGGAGAGCAGTCATTGGAACCGATGGAAGCTCGAGAGAGTGAGTGAGTGTTAAATAGGAAGGCACAGTAAGGACTAAGTCCTGAGACAAGAACGAATTCAAACAGAGGATGTAGGTCCCATTACCAGATGCAGACAGCAGCCATGCAGCAATTGTTGTTACTTCAAGCATCCACCAGTCCATGCATATCAGCAGCAGCTGCATTATTTTCCAAATCATGTCGAGACACAATGGAAAAAGACACAGTGTCCAATCATGCAACATTTCGTTGGTAGGATTGTCATGCTACTTTAAATTGATTGACTTTTGAACTGGCATTTCAAGCATTCTGTACATTCTCATTAGTAGAGGCCAGAAACCATAGGCCACCTCAATAGAGGAAATGCTATTCTATCAAAGACAGACATTAATTTTGCAGGTCATCATACTTCTTTGACAGTGATTGACTTTTGACCTGGCATGCCAAGCATTCTGATTGGTTGCAGCAAGAGTTCAAGTTTGGTGTCAAGGGTCATGTCAAAGGTCATGTGTGATTGACTTTTGACCTGGCATGCCAAGCATTCTGATTGGTTGCAGCAAGAGTTCAAGTTTGGAGTCAGGGGTTATGTCATAGGTCAAGGGTCATGTCAAAGGTCATCTCAAGAGAGGAGTGGAATCCACCGTTTCAGAGCTGGAGCTGCTGTGCGCCTGTTGCCGGGTGTGTCGCGCCTGTTGCCGTGTGAGGGAGAGACTCTCCTGTTTGCGCAGGTGCTCCGAGCTGTGCCACATCCCGTAACCAAAGTATATCACAAACCCTGGGGTCGGAAACAGTCGGTAAACTTCAACAAACCTGAACAAACTGCAGAAAACTTATTAAACAAACTGCAGAAAACTTCAACAAACTGCAGAAAACTAATTAAACAAACTGCAGAAAACTTCAACAAACTGCAGAAAACTTATTAAACAAACTGCAGAAAACTTCAACAAACTGCAGAAAACTTCAACAAACTTCAGAAAACTTCAACAAAATTCAGAAAACTTCAGAAAACGTAAACAAACTTCAGAACACTTTCATTTGATAAAACTTCAGAAAACTTCGAAAAACAATAAAAAAAACTTTGAAAAACCTCAGAAAACTTTTAAAACTTTGAAAAGTTTAACAAACTTCAGAAAACTTTGACATAAAAAAATGCAAAAAAACTTTTCCCAAGGGCACAAGGTTGGTGACATGGCAGGATCCGAACCCGGGACCTCTTGGTTCTGAGCCGAATGCTCTGCCGTTACGCCACACAACCCCACGGAAAGTAGGCTACAAGAAACTCCTGCTATAACAAGCAATCCTTGACTTACCCACAGCCATCCAGACAGCAAATCGGATCCATGTTGGAGCCGACAGTTTCATCATCAGGTAGATGTTCACAAACATGCTGGTGACAGGCAGCAGGGGCAGGGCTGG